CGGTCAGGGCGCCCTGTGGGGGAAAATGCTTGGAATCGTGGGTAGAGATGAGTAGGGGTGTGCTGTCCAAACCTCACCTCCATCCCACAGGGAGGAGTGGCAGCCGGCTGCCAGCCCTGGTGGGGCCACAGCTCTCTGTGTCAGCTTGCGGGGCGGGTCTCTACTCGGCCAGCTCGGGCCCTGTCCTGCGACCTCCTGTCTCAGATGTAGAAACTGACGTGTGCAGCACCCTTCTTCAGGACACACTCATCTGCACACTGAACTGTGAGCAGCGTGAGATCCAGCCTAGAGGAGGGGTATGTGAGCCTGAGTGGCAAGTTCTGCCCTGCATCTGTGGAGGGACCCTGGGGACATTTTCTTACTTTTTTTTTTTTAAATAAGCTTCCTTGGCTGTTAGATGAGAATAATGACCACCTTATAAAATAAAAATTAAGTGTTAAAATAAAATGGGGATGGAGAGATGGCTTAGTGAAGACAGGCGTTTCATTCCCAGCACCCTTCGCAGATGGCTCACAATGGCCTCTAACTCCTGCTCTGGAGTATCTGGTGCCCCCTTCTGGCCTCTGTGAGCACTGCACTCACACGCCCAAACCCATCCACAGAAGCATGTATACACATAATTAAAAATAAAACCTATTAAAAATAAGCATCTCAGTTATTAGAATTAGATTTGATGAAGTCCTGAAGAAATAAATACTGGCACATAATAGCCCTCGTCAGCTGTTAGTTTTTGTGTTATTGCTAAGCCTCACATGGGGCCCCCCAGAAGCCTCCTTGGGACTGTATTTGATCTGGTCACCCTCTCATGGGAAGCTCGCCTATTTGGCTGATGATGATGAAAATGAGTTTCAGAAAAGTTAAATAGCCTCAGCGATCTCAGCCCAGGCACTCTAAGGCTTCAGCCACACCGAATCCTTTCCTGGCTTGGTTCCCCCAGAGCCTCGCTCTGGTTTTAAGCCACACCGTCTGCTTCCTAGTCCCAGCACACCTGGCCATTGTTGGATGTCCGCCTGCCTGCTGACACCCAGCCACCCACCCCAGCCTTCCCACCAGCCACAGCAGCCCTCTTGCTCGCTGCCTATGTGTGTGTGTTTGGCTGGACAGAGCAGTCTCTCCCCTGTACTTACCCTGGCTTTCCCTTGAGGTCTCTGTGTGCCAATGATGGGCCAGCTTTTAAGTCTGGGTGGTGCGGTGTCCTTTTCCATTGGTGTTTCTCAAATGGTTGGCCACTTACCATGCAGGCTTCCTGGGGTTCTTGATAAAACACAGATTCTGGTTGGATGAAGCTGGGCAGAGGCTCCAGTTCTGCACTTGGATGCGGTCTCAGCCATGCTGATGCTATGGGTCCAGGGACCACACCCTGGGCAAGAAGGACTCCTGCCTCTGCCAGTGCCCGTTGACACAATGTGTTTGACCTGGCTCTCAGATGCACCTCGTGGCTCCTGGTGGCAGTGATATTTTCTTTCTCATCGTGTTAGCAGGCCCACCTCACAGTGGGTCACAGAGAGCTATGGCTCAGGGTCAAGGTTAGCTATGGCTCGGGGTCACAGTGAGGCTTGTTTCCGGAGTGGAGTTCACACATCACTGAGCCTGGACACGAATTACCTCTTAGTTTGAAACATGGCTTTCTCTGACATTGTCCTGCTCTCTGGTCTTTGCCCTGAGGTCAGGCTCAGAAAGTGATGGTCTAAAAGTAATTTGGGGACCGTGTAAAAGGAAGAAATGATAGTTAAAAGGACCTGTTATCTTAAAGTTGTTTACATTTTACCATCCCCTATGATAACTTTAGCAAATATAATATTCAGTGCACAGAGGTGACATTTGCATTAGTAATTCAGAAGTGTTCGTGATTAAACATGGAATAACCAGTCCCTAATGCCATCTAGTAAGACATCTTGAATTAAAAGCAATAACTAAATGCCAGACAGATACTGAAACACCTATGGAACTGAATGATGAGACCCTCTGATCTTTTTTTTGTAATGATTTTTATATTTAAATAAACACCCACATTTACTTATTTCATTGGAATTTTGACACGCTAGACAAAGAGACCGTAACTGGGAACTGGGAATGGAGGAATTAATGAGGCAGAGTAGCATCCTTTCACTTAAGTTACTTGTGGTTAACGCAGGTCAAAAAAATACTAAACTGAAAGCCTCAAAAATCAATAAATGGTACATTTTAAATTGTGTACCATTGTGAATTGCATGACGCAATCTTTTGTTCCATTCCTTCCCATCCCAGCATGTGGCTTATCCCTTTGTCCCGATCTCCAGGCTGTGCATGCTACCCATCTGCAATCATCTAGACTTCCAGCTTTTTAGCTCCACTGTCTAGGTATTACAGATGGCAGCCCTGTGTACAGATGTGGTGCCATCCAATGGTTCCAACACCTTCTGCATGGATAAGAAGGGATCCCCGTGGTTCTTCTTCGTGGCCAGGTTAGATATAGGGAATGCATCTCTTTTCTATAAATTGTGCTGTCAAAATTCTCCGTTATGCAGTGTTTGCCCACACCTAGGATGAGTGGCCCTTTAAGCGGCCTCTGGATCACCAAAGGCAGGTCAAGTCTGCTGCCCCTGCTTTTACTGTCCAGTTGTTTCATTCAGCTCACACTATACAGAATGTGATCGTGTGTAGTTTAGACACAGACTCAATATGAGACTTCCTAGATCCTCTTCTCTGCATCCAACCATGGCTCTCTGAGCCCTACGGCGCTGCAGACGGCCTTCCACAGAATTCCGAGGGGCCCCCTTGTTCTTCCAGCTAAGGATCACTTCTGACTTGATGTTTTTAATCTTTGTTGGGTTCGTTGGAAGACAACCTGCTGATAGCAGAATCCAACGATGTCTCCGGTCAGAGTCAGTTGGAGTTATAGGGAGCAGGACGTGCTACACTGTCGTTGTGTGAAACTGCTCCCTTGGGGCTCCATTGTACACGAGCACCAGGTGCTTCCTTCCTGCAGAGCGCAGCCAGGGGACTGCAGACAGAGGCCAAGGAATTACCTTGGGAAAGGTGGTGAGAACGCTAAACACACACAGCCAAGCAGAAAGCAGGAAACAGTTCGAGGTTTAATCGCTCTCTCGACTCCAGTCTGATAATTCAATATTTCTGGGAAATCAAGCCAGGAGACAAGCAAGCCAAAGCTGCCCTTCTCTGCCTCCAGGCGGGCACCCTCCCCTGCACTTCTGACCCAGCCTGCATCCTGTCTGTGGGAGTTGTAAGACGTAAGCATGGGAGGGACTCAGGAGTACTGGGTGGCCGCGCCCCTTGTGGCAGCGAGCTGCTTCCCAAGGCTGTGGCGTTCCGGGCAAGCCCTGAAGGACTGACTGCCTTTCAGACAGGAAACACCTGGAGTGATTGTCTGATCACAGCTGGACGGCAGAGTCTGTCCAGGGTAGCAACAGGCAGCCCCTGATGTGGGCTCAGCTGGCCCGTTCACTCCAGGCAGATGCTTCAGCTGGATCAACGCAGAGCCAACCCAAGCTTAAGGAGGACCATGGCTGAGGCATCATTCACCTGCTGGCTGCCATTCAGCCTGCCGGCACCCATGCAGACTCTGAGCTGGGGACAGCTAGGAAAGGAACCATCCCCTCTCCCAGTTACTGCTGTGCTGTGAAGAGACACCATGACCAAGGCAACTCTCGTGAAAGAAAGTATTCAGTTGAGGCTTGCTTACAGTTTCAGAGGGTTAGTCCCTCATGGTGGGAAGCAGACAGGCACGGCATTGGGGCAGTAGCTGGGAGCTTTACATCCTGATGTGAGGGTTGTAGGCAGAGAGGAGAGACTGGGCCTGACATTGGCTTTTGAAACCTGTCCCCAGTGACACACCTCTTCCAACAAGACCACACAGTTCCTAGTTCTCAAACATGCAAGTGTATGATTCTTTGTGGCCATTCTCATTCAGACTACCACACCTCCCAAATAAGCCAGTTTGCATTTGGATCTTTTTGTTACCCACACAGAGCCATAGAAAGGCTGTTTGGAAAAATTGGAGGGTAGTGAGGGAAAGTTAACTCACAGGCTGAGTCAGGACTCCGGGAGACCTTTCTAGAGGAAAATAACAAAATTTAATGAGGATATGGGCAGAAATCCATTAACAGTTTGATTTTTGTAATTACATGAGCCGACAGTGGAGGAAATGTGAATTAGTAATAGTTTGTAAGAAAAATGATTAATGGTATGATCCACGCAGGAAGGTGTGCTAATCTTGGGATTAGAGGGGGGAGGTGGGGGAGGAGGTAGAAAGTTCCAGACCTATTAGGCAGGATGAATCCGCTGGAGAAGACTCAGTGAATTCTACTTCTTCAGTTTTATTCTTTTGTTTTGTTTTGTGTGTATAGTTAAGGGGAAAGTTTTTATTGTAGAAATGAGAGAGAGAATAGCCAGAGGCATCTAGAAGGGTCCAGAGCAGGGACAGAAAGTAGTAGATGAAACATGGCTGGCAGAGTGGACCTGGCCGTAAGAGAAGCAGGAGTAGAGGAGAGAGAGAGAGAGAGAGAGAGAGAGAGAGAGAGAGAGAGAGAGAGAGGGGGAGAGGGAGGGGGAGAGGGAGGGGGAGAGGGAGGGGGAGAGGGAGAGGGAGAGGGGAGACACAGAGAGGGAGGGGAACAGAGAGAGAGGGAGAGCATGGGAGAGGGAGAGAGAGACAGAGATACGGGGAGGGGGCTGTGTTCATTATTGACTGGGACTTAGGACTCCGGCAGCTTCAGATGAACTCTTTGCCCACACGATGTATGACATTGGTCTCATCTGGCTTCTCTGAAAGCAACACATCGATACCAAGCCACTCCAATGACCACAGAACCCTCAGCCACTCAGCAGTGACCCGAAGGTGATTTCCTTTTGTGTATAAAAGGTGGTGACCTCTATTAGGACACATTTTAGAAAACATCCCTCAACGGCATGGCTGAGGTAGGCACGTGTCCAGTCAGCACATCCTGCTCCTCACATGGGAGTGGATGTTACATCGGCAGTTATTTCTGCTTTTTCCATAGATATGTGGAACTGACCACCTACTCCGATTATAAAGACTACAGGGAAACGATACTGAGCAAGCCCATGCTATTCTTTATAAATGTGCAGACCAAGAAGGACATCTCAAAAGGTACATATATCAGTCATCTTCATTTGGTTCTACCTTGCTGGGAGGCGGGCTAAGGGAGGAAAGAGGCCGGAAGAAGGGAGGGTAGATGTCAGCTATGCCGAGGGTAGCAGCAAGCAAACTGCTCTGTGCAGCCATGGGGAGCACTGCACATTCTGGCTCCGTGAACTTCTGGTGATGGAAACCCGTCTTTGACTTATCACTTCCTGTTCAGGCAGGAAGTGACCTGACCCGGAACCTTCGGAGGTGTGACTTCCTTTCTAGACGGGAACTGATCTGGCATTCTGGGCCTTCTGGGGTTGTAGGAACGTTTGGAGTGGTGAATCTCTCACGTATCACACATTGTGTCTGAGGCATGCTTTATCGTCACTAGCTGACCAACAACCTAGGGGACCTGTCATCCAAATGGGGAAGTTTTTGAACATAAAAATAGGAATAGTTAATAATTCCTCTTTTGAAAAGATTTAAGATTCTTATTTTTTCAATTTATTTTATGTAGATGGGTGTTTGGTCTTCACATATATTTATGTATCACTTACATTCCTGATATACCCTTAGAGGCCAGAGAGGGCATTGGATCTCCTGGAACTGGAGTTACAGATGGTTGTGAGCTGCCATGTGGGTGTGGTGAATAAAATGTAGGTCCTCTGTAAATCAACCAATGCTCTTAACCTCCGAGCCATCTCCCCAGCCCTTAAATTTTATTTTAAATTATGTGTTTGTCCAGTGTGGTATAGGCACATGAGTCCAGTATCTTCAGGGACCAGGCAAGGGTGTAGCTAGAGTTTTCCTGCCTGGCCCATGTCAGGACAAATCTCTGTCACCTGCCAATCTCACAGCCACTCAGACCCAACCAAGTAAACACCGAGACTTATATTGCTTACAAACTGTATGACCATGGCAGGCTTCTTGCTATACTGTTCTTATATCTTAAACTAACCCATTTCTATAAATCTATACCTTGTCACGTGGCTCGTGGCTTACCGGCATCTTCACATGCTGCTTGTCCTGGTGGCGGCTGGCAGTGACTCCTTCTGCCTTCCTGTTCTTTCTTTTCTCCTCTCTGTTAGTCCCGCCTATACTTCCTGCCTAGCCACGGGCCAATCAGTGTTTTATTTTCTAACCAATCAGAGCAACACATTTGCCATACAGAATATCCCACAGCACACGGGCATTGGATTCCCCCGAACTGGAGTTACAGGCGGTCGTCATGCACCTGATGTGTGTCCTGGAAACTGAATCCAGGTTCTGTGCAAAAGCAGTTCATGCTTTAGCTCCCGACTCATCTCTCTGTCCCCATAGTTAATAAATTTTCTAGGCTAGAGGTATAAAGTTCTACTGTGGTAGGATGCAGAGTAATCCTTTTTTTGTTTTGAAGGTAGTTGTAGACGCTTTAAGTTTTGTGTTTCTAGGTGTTAGAGTTGCATGTTTAGACACTCTCTTTATGGTTTTCAGGTTAACTGGTAACAACCATGTAACTCAAATTCCAATATGAACATTTCTCCATTATTCTTCTCTCCTTCTGCTCAGTGATAATGCTGGAGACTCGCCAGCATAACACTCTGTAATAAGAGGAAAATTCTAGAACTTGAGTCTAAGTACTATTCTTTATTTACTTGTTTGTTTTTGTTTTTTTCGAGAGAGAGCTTCTCTGTGTAACTCTGGCTGTCCTGGAACTCACTCTGTAGACCAGGCTGACCTTGAACTCAGAGATCCACCTACCTCCACTTCCCAAGTGCTGAGATGAAAGGCGTGCACCACCTGGCCTATATAGCATTCCTAGAGTGGGCTCAGGGTAATAACTGGTGATGGGCTCGTTTCAGACAGACCCCTCCAGCCTCCTCTCTCAGTTAGTTATCGGAGCACTCTCCGTTCTTCATTCTCAACTCAAAGTCAGAATGTTCTGTTTGCAGGAGAGGCCAGAGCACAGCCAGCAGCGACCGGCCACATCCTAGTACCACGTGTGCTCTGGCTTGGCGATGTGCAGCAAGATGGCCAAGTCTCCAGGCTTGTAACTGACAGATATACAAGTGAACCCCCCGACTTGTTCCCCCAGGGGGATCTATAGAAAGAATTAGAACTCTTAGTTTAGCATTTTAATCAAAGTTCCAAGAGTGGCACAAGAAGGAATCTATAAGAGATTCATAGATAGGGCATAACTGCATGATAACATCTACAGGAGGAGGTACGGGACCCCAACAGCTAGCCGACTGTGAGAAAAGCTAGCATGCAAAAACAGTTATATAATATAAAAAAGAAAAGATGGCTTATTTTACACCATGATGACTGTAACTAAGGGAACATGTCAGCCCTACTGCTATTCTAGATTACATTTTATGCAAATTGGGAGTTACCATGTCCTCGAGACAAGCACTGCTGTCTTCTAGAAGCCTGTCATAGTAAACATGCAGATTGACAGATCTGTAAATGTGTAGTGTGCAACCTGCCCCGCTGTGGAATAGGCTCGACCTGGGTGTTTAATGAGCCTTTCAAAGGTCTTGGTTGATTTGCATGAAATTCAATTCCAGGTTGCAACTAACCTGCTCACCTTATTTTATCTCTTGCTCATCTTAAGTAGCCTATAAGGTGGTTTCTATCTAAAATTCCTTTTAAAAATTCAGAAGAAGGGAAAACATGGGTAGGAAAACTAAAAATGAGTAAACGTGGTATAAAATGCATTCAGGGCTGGAGAGATGGCTCAGCAGTTAGGAGCACTGGCTGCTCTTCCAGAGGCCCTGGGTTCAATCCCGAACACCCAGGTGGAGTTCCAGCCAGCTATAACTCCAGTTATAGGCACATGACAGCCTCGATTGGCCTCTGAGGACACCAGGCATGCAAGTGGTACACACATAGACACGCAGGCCAAACATCACACACAAAAGTAGAATAAATACATCTTCAACAAATGCATTCCTTAAAAACGTAAACCCAGCCGGGCAGTGGTGGCGCACGCCTTTAATCCCAGCACTCAGGAGGCAGAGGCAGGCAGATCTCTGTGAGTTCAAAACCAGCCTGGTCTCCAAAGCGAGTTCCAGGAAAGGCGCAAAGCTGCACAGAGAAACCCTGTCTCGAAAAACCAAAAAAAAAAAAAAAATGTAAACCCATGCCTTTGGCCCACAGGGTTTGCCACTGAGATATCTCAAAGGCAGTAGAATATTCTCAAAATCACATAATAGCTGGTCCGCTCATTTAAACAGGGACTGGCACGCCTGTCTTGCCTCGCTTGATAAAGTAATTTGGGCTTGGTTCCTGGGACTGGAAAAGAGATTAGCAGTTAATAAGATTCCAATTTTTAAAAAATGAGGAAACAGTCTTCTCTTTGTCTCTATTGTGTGTGTTGGGGAAGACTCGGGGCAGACGCCACCTCCAGTGCCTTGGTGATTGGAACTGCAGCCTGGAGCCATAGAGAGAGTATAAGCAGAGGATCTCAACCTTCAGCACGCTGCAACCCTTTAATACAATTCCGTATGTTGTGGTGACCCCCAACCATGGACCTACGGTTGCTACTTCATAACTATAATTTTGCTACTGTTATGAATCATGATGTAACTATTCGATATGCAGAATATCTGATACATGACCCCTGAGGGGGTTTTGACCCACAGATTGAGAACTACTGGTTTACAGGCTTACAGAGCCTAAAAACCATCCTGGAAACCACGATGTAGAACCTGCTGGAGCATGCTCTGCTCTGACTTCTGTGTGCATACCTTTGAGTGCACACACAAACACAATCAATAAACGAATGTAAAAAAAAATTGCAATAAGAACCTTTTCCACACTGGAGACATGCTGTGGAGGGGGAAGTTCTTATGCAAGGAGCTTTTGACTTCCAAGGTGATTCCCAGACCTGCTTTCACAGTAGCCCAGAGCACCTTTCAAACAAGGTTTTGGGGAACATGGTTAGAAATCTCGCAGGACATCTGGGGAAGCAGGCGGGAAAGAAAGTAGCTGTATGAAATCTTCCAAAGCGGCTCCGGGCATGCCTTTGCGGATCAGAAGAAGCACGTTCTTGTCGCACAGACACTTTGACTGCTGCTTGCTTGACTTCTAGAAAGGACCTATGCGTTTCTTGTGAACACAAGGCACCCCAAGATAAGAAGACAGATAGAGCAGGGGATGGACATGGCCATTTCCTCGGTGATTGGAGAAAGCTACAGACTTCAGGTGAGCTGGGCTTTCAGCAGGAGGGCTACCTCCTCACAAAGGGACGGTTTCCCTCCTGATGGACCGCCCTCTCGGTGGGCAAGGCTGCGGCCATTCGGGTTGCGGTTGATTCTATAATGTCCACGATGGTTTCATGCTCCGTGTCATTGAATTTTTTTCTCTCTTTCAGTTTGATTTCCAGGAAGTGGTGAAGAATTTTTTCCCTCCAGGAACTACAGTGCTAAATGGAGAGAATTTGAGCTTCGCCTATGAGTTCAAGGCAGACGCCCTCTTTGATTTCCTTTACTGGTTTGGGCTCAGCAATTCCACCGTAAAAGTGCACGGGAAGGTTCTGAACTTGACAAGCATGAACCCAGAAAAGAAAGAAACAATCAAGTTATTTCTGGAAAAAATGAGCGAACCTCTCATCCGAAGGAGTAGTTTCTCTGACCGGAAGTTTAGTGTCACATCTAGAGGTACGTGGCGCACTTTCAGGGTGTGGGAAGGGTGGCTGGCTCAAAAGGTGGAGAGTAGAAGTGTGAGCCAAGTGGCCACTCACTGAAATGTCTCTAGACCGAAGAGAACAACGACACCCTGGCACACGCCTCTAGTCCCAGCACTCGGGAGGTAGAGGCAGGTGGGTCTCTGAGTTCAATGCCAGCGGGTCTATACAGCAAGTTCCAGATCAGCAGAGGCTACATAGTGAGTCCAAAACCAAAAACAACGGATACCTGCAACTTGGGGAGGGAGGAATGAGGTGTTTGTTAGCCTAAAAGAGCAAAGGGGGCACAGTGGTGTGCACCTGTATTCCAGCTGATTGTGAGGAGGAGGCAGGGGGAGGACTTGAGTCCAGGAGTTTGGGGCTAGCCTAGGCAACATGGGGGGAGGGGCGGGGGAATCCTGTTTCAGACAAAAAGAAAAGAGGAGAAAAGAAAAAGGAAGAGAGATACTGTGCGTTTTCTGATATACCAGTTATATGATACAGCAAAGGCAGAATGCTAATTTAAATAAACAAATATTAATTTAAATATGTAGGCTCCCTTCGGCACGCAGGGTTAGACTGTCTCCGGAGAGTGCCTCCTCCCCCATTTCATCTGTGTGTGCTCCGGATAAGAGAGCCGTCAGCCAGCTTGCATGTCTCCGTGGCTGTGGTCTCTGTCTTCACGGTGTGTGTGTTCGGAGCGGTTCTCAGACACGACAAGAATAACTCCTGGGAAGGTTTCGTGTAACACCCTAACAAGACATATGGTGGGCTTTGGTTTAGAAAGGCACGTGGCTCAGGCAGATGGCTTCTTCCTCTGTGAGCTGCTCTCTGAGGGATGGTGAGTCTGGGCCCCAGAGCACTTCCAGAATCAGGGCTCTGGTGGCCGGGCGCAGCAACCTCCGGCCCAGGGCCCCCAGCGCTCCGCAGCGCAGATGTCAGCGGGCTAGATTAATAGTATTTAATGGCAGTTCTTTCTTCCTTTGTGTGCAGCGAGAGTCCTTACTCAGGGGCTTTTATCCTGGAAATTCTCTCTCTCTCTCTCTCTCTTCTCTCTCCCCCTCCCTCCTGCGCTCGGCCTCCCTCATTGCCACCCCCCTCCTCTTTCTCTTGTTTTTCTTTCTCTCGATCTCTGTTTCTCCCCTCCGTTTCTGTTTCACTCCCCACCCTGCCCTCACCCCACCTTGCGCTGTCTTAGCTTTATCTCTCTGCCTTACATCACAACCCAAAGCTTTGGGGGTGGTCTTCCCCTGGCTCTGGCTGTGCCGCATTGGCCTGGTCCGACGTCTCACCACCATCCCCAGCATCCTGGACAGCATTCCTGACTCTCCCCCTGTCCTGTTTCCTGCTTAGGGTTTCCACTAGGGCCCGTGTGGTATGAGAGTGTCACCCTTCCCAGAAAGTTTCCCCTGAGCCAGGTCTAGGGCCTCCTCAGCTCCTGAGCCCTGGAGAGGATGGTCCCTGGGAGTTGGCACAGCTATGGCACACCTGCTGTGCCGGCACGTTGCCGAGCCTGGCACCGGGCTCTCGGACTGACTGGCGGCCCAGCAAGGCCGCCAATCTGTTCTGCCCACACCAGAGGCTGCCCTCTAGCTGGGAATGTAACACAGTAATAGAGCACTTGCCCGGCATGAGGGAATCCCTGCTAGATGAATAAACCAACCAACAGCCGGAACCTGACCCCTGACCTCTGTCTAAGCATCTGTTCCCCCCATGCCTGCTGTTCACCTCGGATCTCCAGCCCACAGGAAAGCAAGTAGCAGTCATAGCAATGGTGTCAAATTAACATTTTTTTTCCCTTTGTGATGGAGTCTCACTATGTAGCCCTGGCTAGCCTGAAACTCACTCTGTAGACCAGGCTGGCCATGAACTCACAGAGATCCACCAGCCTCTGCCTCCTGAGTGCCGGGATTGAAGGCACATGCCATCACACCCAGCCAACAGAAATAGCACTGATAAGCAAAAATCAGCACATTTCTATTTAGCTTTTTGAGTGTCCCTGTGGAAGCCAGGATTCTCTATTAATTGCTGAAATGGCTGTTTTGGATGAGCTTTAAAGGCACTCTCTTTCTGTAGTGATGTGATAATGAACGCCGTATTTACTGTGTTTCTAGGTTCAATAGACGACGTTTTTAACTGCAACCTATCACCCAGATCATCGGTCACGGAGCCGCTGTTGGCACAGTTATCATTCCCGAGTGTTCTGGAATCTGAAGAGACGTCCAGCCACTTTATCTGATGGGTCTGAACGCTCTGGCTGTCGTCCTCTGACTGGAGCCTGTGGCAGGCGGCAGGTTGAAGGGTGAGAGCAGGGAGGAGGCGGGCACTCCCATCCCTTTGCCAAGCCCTGGTCCTCCAAGGTTCTCTAGGGGGCTCTTTTTTTTCCATGTCCCTGGGCATGGTGCCCTGGCTGGTCCAGTGCAGCTGCCTTCTGTCGGGGTTTTGATTATGGGATGGAAGGGCTTTGTCCCTATGGCACAGGGTGACATTGACATTGAACACTTCTCTGAAGAACCTGAGAAATTCTCAGGGGCCTGCCACCTTGAACTTTGCTTAACACCCTGGCACTCTGGGGACTTTTCTGGCAACTTCTGTGGGAAGCAGGCACCTGACTGGGATGTTAACCCTGGTGCTTCATGGGTTACGGAATGGTCCTCTGCTTGGGACACAGCTTGAGGCGCACTGACCCAGCAAGCCTGGGGTTTAGCGCTTCTCCTGCAAATGTGTTAGGCAAAGCCTGTACTGTATTTCACTGGGAGACAAGTACGGTTTTCATCCCACCCATGGGAAACCTTGAGGACATTCAAGCTACTACAGGCTGCTGAAGGGTCTGCAGGATGCCAGGATGAACCCGGCCTGGGATGCGAAGCCGCCGTGTGGTGCAACAATCAACCAGCGACAGGACCTGTCCTCCGCCCTGCAGGCATACCATACAAGCGGGCACTGGAAATGCGCTTTTAGCCGTCTTGAACACGAGAAGAAAAGCCCGAGGAAAGCAGGCCACTGCCCAAGTACTTCAGACATCAGCATATGTTTCACCTCACGGCTCCAAAGGGATTCATTGAAAGGAAAAAAGTATCCAGTCTACCCGTAAATGCTTATGCGAGTGGCCAGGCATGGTGCACACCTGTATCCCAGCACTTGGAAGCTGCAGGCAGTGGATTAGGGCTTCGAGCTCATCCCGGCTACATAGTGAGTTCCAGGCCAACCTGGGCTATTAATGAAGATGATTCTGTCTCATAAAAACAAACAAGTTTCACATTTGTGGATCCCTGCAAATAGTCATAAGAAGGCAGATTCATGGGCATTGTGTATCATTTTTTTCTATCCTTTAATAACATATTCCCCTGCTACATATTTTGATAATACTACTGATGGACTGACATTTGTCTCTGAAATGTTATCTAGTGCATGTGCACGATTAAAACTTTTCTTAGCATTCAACCTGTAATTGATTAAATCTGTGGCCAAAAAGGTATGGCACGGCCCCTGGAGGGCTGTGGAACCCGGTGGGTTTTCTTTGTAGTGCGCTAAATGTCCGCACAAGTGTGGTTTTCAGAACCACTTCCTCAAGAAGACACTTAAGAGCAAGGAGTATTTGGAGAAAGAAAATTAAGTTTGTGTGGAGAAAAGAGGAGCTAAGTGCTCCTTCACCACAGGAGGATAAACCCGTTGTTAAATTCGGTAAAAAGAAAAATAGTAAGGAATTCAAACCAGCTCTCCACCAGTGGAAATAAACCAGTAGTGCATAGCAAGAGTTAAACTCTTCCCCAAGGAAATAAAATCTCCATTCATAAGACTGACAATTTTCTTTTGAAACTGAATTGAGAAAATAGCCAGTGGCACCCCCAGGAATGGACTGGAGATCTGGGGTGATAATTTCATCATTAAGATTTCTTAGTTGATGCCGAAGTCACTCAATCAGTTACCACCCCCCAGAGTTTTACTCTGCCTGTCCAAAAGCAGACAATGATAGTGTAATTTATTGGCAAATACTTCAAAGAACTAAGATTGGCAAATCTATAACTTGGTGATGGCTCCTCCTGGCTGAAGGAGGCTGCAAACTGGGCACACATGTGGCCTGATGTGGGCAACCTGTTCCCACCAAGGCCCATGTTGAAACTTGATCCTCAGGGTCATCTCTTCTTGAATTTTTATCAGCATATGTTGATTACACATAACAATGCATTTTAATCATAATTTCATACATGTCCGTAACACGTTTTGATCACACTCACACACCTCTACCCTGCTCCCGCTCCTTCTACTTTCGTGGCTATTTTCTGGAAATTTCTACCCGAGGACAGTGATTATTCTAGGGCTCCTTAGCTGTTACAGCCTCAGGAAGGTCCAAGGCCTTTGACGGTCCCTCAATTCCACATCACCGTGTTGGTCCTTCCGGCACCGGCCAGGCCAAAGGTAGGGCTGACTTTCAACAGATCCCACGGAGGGAGCTGCTCTGCTACGTACGAAACCCCGACCCAGAAGCAGGTCGTCTACGAACGGTTTAGCGCCAGGTTCCACACGGGCGAGAGGGCGGCCCCCTTTCCGGCCGCACCCCGTTTCCCGGGGCGAATGGCTCTCCGCACCGGACCCCGGTCCGGAAGCACGGTGGGGACCCGCCAGTCAATTCCACATGTCAGCTTGGCTGAACCAAGGAGCCTAGATTTGGTCAAGCATCATTCTGGATGTCTCTGTGAAAGATGAAGCTAACATTAAATTGATGACCGAGTAAGGCAGAAAGTGCTCTCTAATGTGGGTGGATCTCACTTAGTCACTTGGGGTTTAAATACAAAAGACTCCTCCCCAGCAGGAGGGACTCCCCAAGTGATGACGAGGGCCTGTGGACCACAGTGCAGGCTCTTTGCTGAGTCTCCACCTACTGGTTCACCCTAGGTGGTGCATCCAAAACCCTGTGCAATTCCTTAAAACAAACCTGCAGAGCTGGGTGTGGGGTAATCCTAGTGCTCAGGAGGTGGATCAAGAGCTCATAGCTTCATAGCAAGCTCAAGGCTAGCCTGGGATGTGTGAGGTCTTATCTCAAAACAAGAAAATAACCAAGGGGGGTAGGGGAGAGAGAGAGAGAGAGAGAGAGAGAGAGAGAGAGAGAGAGAGAGAGAGAGAGAGAGTTTCTTGCTCATCAGTTTCTAGAATCTTAACACAGAATGCACCCACAAACTGAGATAATGTCTTAGGAGTTCACCCACTAGCTAGAAAGAACACAATGTATTTTTTACACATTCCTTGATACAAACAACACACACTACCTAGTAATAGTGTCAAAGAAGCAAGGCCGAGAAGCTCACTCGGTCTCTGTGATGGTTACTTTCAATTGTCAGCCTCATAGGGTCTAGAATCACCTAGGAGACACTTCTCAGTTTGCTTGGGAAAGTTTATCTAGATTTATCTAGTTTATCATTTAGGATAGGAGCCCCCCACCCCCCACCCCATGGTTTGGGACCCTGGACTGCACAGAAGGAGAAAGTTAGCTGAGCACAGACATTCATCGCTCTCAGCTTCCGACTTCAAATGCAAACATACCCAGCACCAAACATACCTAGCAATCTCATGACTTTCCTGCCGTGATGAACAGAGAGCCGAAATAAATCCTTACTTCCTTCAATTGCATTTGTCAGGGGTTCCGTCACAGCAGCAGGAAGAGTAGCTGAGACAATATCTTTGTACTTAGAGTGGTGGGAAAAGACTGTGGACTGGTTTTGACCGGCTCTGGCCTGTTCTGGGCTGATGGAGTGGCCACCAGAGGGCCCTTCTTCACCCTCCACCACTTTCCTCCTTAAATTATCCCATCAACTCTTCCCTTCTCTTCTTCCTTTCAGGAGGTGAACTCATAATCTGTTCTGTATGGCTAGAGCATTGATCCTCAAACTTCCAGTGTGGGTCAGTGTACGTGTGTGTGTGTGTGTGTGTGTGTGTGTGTGTGTGTGTGTGTGTGTGAACTTGACACAAGCTATGGCCATTCCAGAGGAGGGATCCTCATCTGAGGAAGTTTCTCCACCAGACTGGCCTGTGGGGCATTTCACTTATTAATGACTGATGTGGAAGGGTATGGTAAACTAAACCCTGTCCTCTCCAAGTCGCTTTTGATCGTGGTATTTGTCACAGCAACAGCATACCCCCTCCTCTTCCCGGGCCCCTCTGCTCTCCTGAAGCTCTCAGCTCATGCCTTGCTCCTTACCTTTGACCTATAAACTTGACCGCTTCTCTCTTCTTTTTAGTAATAGCGTTACCACTGGCCTCCTATGCTAAAATGCAGAACACTTTCAAATCTTTCAATCATGCTATTGGTTAACAATACATATGCACACTATGTAAGGTTTTATTTTTTTCTGTTATGTATCAAGATGTCTTATGGGCCACAAGAATATATTATAGAGATTCAGCTATATATTAAAGCTATACCTAGAAATTCCAAGGTATTTTTCTAGAGGAAGCCATTTATCATGGAATATTTGGGGTTATTCAGTTTTTAATATTTCTTCTGCTATGAAATTCTGTGGGCCCACATACTACTAGACCATACTGGCAAACAGTTCAGCTTCTCAGATGCTGATCCTCTCTCTAGGTGACTAACTCCCCTGAAGAGCCTAGGAGACAAGCAGGCTGCAGATACAAGCTTTGCTGCTTGTACAAATGAAGCTCAGACCATCCCTTGCCTTCAGCCCTAGTGGTTTTCCAGAGCTATTGACTGAGAACAAAGGAGGTTTTTGCATATCCAGGTGGAGTGAAGAGTGAGGCGGAATTCCTGGTGGCAGAGAGTCACAGGGTGAGGAGAGGAAGAACAAGGCAGTTTTTCTGTAGATGGTGGACAGAGCTGCATACCAGAGAGAAGAGAGATTCAGTAGGTGGTGAGGCAGATCTCTTGTAGAGTTTTCTCAGAGCCAGGAGTAAGGAGCAAGGAAAGAAAGATGGAGGACGAAGGAACCGAGGACGAAGATGTGGTCAAAAGCACAGGCGCTTCCTAAAACCATGAGGACAGGGAAAATGCGCACAGAGAGGAGCTGAATGTGAGGACCGGGCTGAAGCTGTGTAGACAGAGTTTTGTCCTAGAGGAATAAAGTAAATGGATAAAGAGCTTGGTGTACTTAGATTCATTTCCCAAAAGTAATTCTTGTCATTCGTGGTTTCTCTTCTGGGCCCCTGGGAAGAATGTCACTAAGGCTGGTCCTATAATAATATTTGAGAAAGAAGTTCTGATTTCTTTTGATAGCCAGCTCATGGCAATCCCAGGTCCTTTTATTCTGATCTTAATTTCTGACGTTAACTCAGATTATACATAACACTTCACACAATATATGTAGGTTATAGAATATGTGTGTGTGTGTGTGTGTGTGTGTGTGTGTGTGTGTGTGTGTGTGTACATATATGTGGGGATACAGAATGGTACAAATGAGGCCACAGACTTCAAGAATACCTTGCTGGAAGTAGAGGCAGAGCCAATACAAATGTAGAGTAAGCCACTGCAGATGATTAGAGACTAGTGAACCCAGCTAGAGGTGTGTAGAGGTGAGCAGAGTAGAGCCACAAGGTTATGGAGTCCAGCTGAACCTCAAGGTCACTGGATGGACAGAGAGATGGACTGATGACCATGATTTCAGTGGCCCGGTGAGGACAGGAGTTTGCTGCTCATGATGCCCTTGATATATGCACTGGGTGGTGAGGTGACAGGTTATTGTCCTTGTCATCCAACAGTAGGCTTCCTCCTTTATATGTGGCTCAGGTGAGAGCATTTTATCCTTTGTTGGCCTGGTCTGCATGATGAGCTCTGCGGCCTGGTTTTTCCGATATGGCTTTAATAGGTCCATGTCCCTGCTCTACTTGGTAAGCTGCACATTTAGGTGTAAATCAGTGCCTCCAAGGGGATGCTGCCAAGGTCCTGGGGTTCACAGCCAGAGTGAGGGGCACACTCATTCTGCTGCAGGATTTGTCCCTTCGGTGATGCTAAATGCTGCTTATAAAATGGGCAAAGCCCAGCCCGAATGCTTCATAAAGTGTGAAGTAATCTGGAGCCGGGAGCAGCCTGACGCCCCTCCTCCCCGTTGGAGATTCCCAAACCGACAGCTGTGATTGCTGTCCGCTCTATCGCTATTGTGTTTACCACTCCACGTGTGTGTGTGTGTGTGTGTGTGTGTGTGTGTGTGTGTGTGTGTGTGTGTGTGTGTGCCGGGAGAGACTTATGACAACGGTGTTCACTGGAAACAACCGATGGACGTTTTTTTAAAAAATTCACCTCCTTTATTGATTCTTTGAGAGCGTCACACCATGCACCCCAATTCTGCTCACCTCCTGGTACCCCCATCCCCTCCCTTCACCCTTGCAGCGTGCCCCCCCACAAAAGAAAATTTAAACATAACAAAACAAAGCAAGCAAATAAACAAACAAAACAAAACAAAAAAAAGAAGAAAAGAAAAAAGAGTAAAAAAAAAAAAAACAAAAACCTCTTTGTTTCTCTTCTTTCTTGCCTCTCCAACACCGCTTCCTTGGTCCTGGTGCCATTAGAATCCTTGGTGCATCATATAGTGTACTCTTTTGTCCCGTCAGCTGTCAGCTGATTCACTCATTGCAATGAGCCACTGGTCTGGTTCAAGGCCTCTGGTCTCTGGGACACCATCATCCCTGAAACTCCTCTGGGATACCCTGTGGCCGCCCAGAGTCATGGAGGTCCTGTGGGTATTGTTCCACAGGACCAGGCCCTTCACGAGCTCCAGCAGGTCCTAGATGGGGTAGATGTTAGGGTGGGTCAACCCAAGGCTTGGCTGTGGGCCGGGGTGGTAGCTGAGCTGGTCAGTCCTGGCCACTGGAGCCACCCCCCTCAGGTGAGGGGATGGAATCAGCTTCCCTCTGCCTCTGCCCTCAGGGGCAGTTGACTGTTACCTGTGGTGAAGGGCGGGGCCATCTCTCCCAAGTGCCAACTCTCCCTGGAGGGTTGGGGGCAGCACAGTAGTGTCCAGTGAGAGGCAAGCCCTGCTTTCCCTGGGCCAGAGAAAGGATGGGGCCGGGTCAACATGGTCATCTGATTTCATCTCTCATGGTTCCTATACGCCCCTGAGGTGACATGGGCCACAGACATCAACACAGACCCCAGCCGCAGCTGGACCACGGACCCAGCCCTGGCCCCCAGCCCTGGCCCAGGCATCACCATGGCACTGGGTAGTAGTGTGTGCCGCTCAGATCTGTATAGCTCCGGCTGCAGTATGGCCCTTGGGAACCTACATGGTCCAAGGTGGCTGATCAGACCCCAAGCAACCACACAGTTTTTGATACCCGATTAACTTTTAACCCACTGAATCCAAGTCTCAGTTGTTTAGGATCTATGCAAAACTACCCAGGCATGTTAGTGACCCAGATGTTTTGCTTTCTGAGGGACAGTTCTGAGTCCTTCTCGGAAAAAAAGGTCAGGGTTTAAAGTTTGACTTGGTGACGTCACTCCACTGTGCAAGCCCCTGCCACACTCTGGTGACCTGTGGCTGCTCTGCTGGGCTGCCAGGCCCCCCCTCAGCCCTGTTTCTGCACCTTTGTGCCTCTACCCCCCCCCACTGCTCTTCACAGCAGAGCACCAAGAAATCCTTCAGCATCTGCGGACTCTGTTTTTCTTCCAGGTGTTGCCCCCACCCCCCACTTACCTGGATGGCTTCACGCATCCTTGGGGTGTGGGCATCTTTCCTTTGAGAATGCTGTCCCTAAGCCCCTGTCATATCTAATGCTGCTTTCAATGTCATTACACAGCTTATATTCAATACACAAGCAATGTTTGTGGAGAGGAGAAACAAGAAAGGAAAACACACAATAAAAGAAACCAAATAGACATCGGCTTAATCATTTATAGGCTGGCCTCAGGCAGACGAAGTTCAAAGTCGGGAACAGGGCCATGCCACTCACAATAAAGTACACCCAGACCAAAATATATGTGTTGAAAAGAAACTATACTAAGAGTGGAGACAAAGAGTAGAAATGAGGAAGAAGAGAAATACCCTGGCCTGTGCTGGCCACCACTGATAAACTGTTGTCAGGGTTATCGTCTCTGTAAGCCCCAAGTTTACAGAAAGGGAACTGGAGCTTACAGAAGGATCTGTTTACCTCCAGGGCCCCCAGAGGGAAAGCGACAAGAGAGCTTCTGGATCTGCATTCAGTGCACACCCCACATTTTAGCTTGCCTGAGATGAGACAAATCTAAGATATTAATAAGAACTCGCTTTAAAAATTCTATATGCTCACTGCTCTGCTTTAAAAATATATTTATCTTAAATTATGCTATGCTAATTAGCCCTACCATTTCCAGACAGCTAATCTGTTATTGGGTGTCACTTTCTTGATTTAGACGCCACTACTAAACCCTAATTTAGACTCATTCCTTTTTAAATAACATTGACAGAAGTCTGTGCCTCCTAACGTCTTCTGCTCTTCATTGCATGCAAATGTGTTGTGTGCATGAGGCTTCACCACCAGAAAATTCTGGATTAGCTCTTTCTTTTAAAGAGGATGCTTTGTGGCTCTTGCAGAGGACCCAGAGCCCATTTCCCAGCACCCACATCCGGACCCCCCCACCCCCAAACCTACATCTGGTCGGTCATAGGTACCTGTAATTCCAGCTCCAAGGGATCTAATACCCCTTTTGGCCTCCTTGGGTACCTGCCCACATGTGAGGAGCGCGTGCATGCACACACATGCATTTAAAAATGATAAAAATAAATCATAGAAATGTTGCTTGCAGATACGTTTGTGATCTCTGATACCTAATTAATGTCCCTTGATAAACTTCTCTTTGTGAGGCCTTATTTTCCTCTAATGTCTTATGTTAGAATAACGCCTTTTAGGGTAAATAAGAGTTTTAAATTATTGTTTTTATTTCCGTTTTAAAAAAAACAGGATCTCATTATCCAGCCCTGACTGAGCTAGAACTCATTATGTAGACCAGGTTCATCTCAAATTCTCAGAGCTCCACCTGCCTGTGCCTCCTGAGTGCTGGGATGAAAGACCAGACTGTCAATCATCTTCCAGAAATCTCCATTGTGTGTTTTCTGTCCCCTCTTCCCAAGAGCGGGCGGTAGCTGTCTTCTTTTCTGGAGCCATTCAGTAGTTACTAAGTACCTACTATGTTGCCAAAACCCAGGCAGTCACCAAGAATATGAGCACAAAATACCTTCTGCACCCAGGGACTAACACACAGCTTCTTGTGTTGTGAGGGGTCCCGTGAGGGACAGAGGGAGCTGCAAACAACATGGGAAGTTCCCTGCATGTGCAACACTAAATGTTAATTCAAAATCAAACACGTCACCTCAGCACCCTGGATGCTCAGTGTGTTTATTATATAGAGCTGAGCAGAGAGGTAGCCCATTGCGTACAGCTGAGCAAGGAGACCAGGTTGGTACATGGAGATAAACAGAGAGTCAGGGGTTATGGTATCCAACTAGATCATGATGGAGACAGGTATAGCTCATACTATCTGGGGAGAAAGCTATGATGGACATTTTCTGCACACACTGTCCACATCGACACACCCACACTGAGGAAGGTTTTGCTCTTTTCCTCCGAGCCTCAATCAGGAATGCTCCATTTTAAAAACAGTGCCATTTGATTTGTTGACTTGAGTTTCATGAAAATTTGGTAAATGAGTCTTGGCTTGGGGTTGGGGCAGAACTTCTGTCTTTGAAATGGTTCTAAGCACACTTCTGCACTTTGTACTAGGTATTTATGCAAAATGATCTTCCAGTATTGGTGATTTAGAAAAACCAAAGCACTGTTCGACTCTAAAAAGCACTAAAGATGATCTGTGTCCTGCAGCAACTAACACTCACCCAAGATTTAAATCTTTGTGTAAAATAAACAAGCATGCCCATCGCATTAATATGAAAGTTTGCTTTCTTCTTTCCCAGATGGTAAAGTTGCATGCACAGCAATGAATTATTTTAAAATAAACTCCCTCGTGGTTATCAATAGACGTCTGACCTGTCATCTGTTTTATATGCCTTATATACCTGGCTTGCATAAATTTCTCAGGCACGAAGTGGTCACAAATGGGAGAATATTAAAAAGCCAGGCTCTAGCATCCATACATGCATGGGTAAGGTGGGTGGGCCAGCATATGTTAACAAACTGGCCCTGCCTACGCCCTGTGGTTGGTACCAGGAATGCAGTTGGGACGTTTTCATATTTTTTAAAAACAAGAGTTTTCTGTAAGCCTGGCTGCCCTTGGACACACTTTGTGTTACAGGATGATTTGGGTCCTGCTGCCTCTACCTCCCAAATGATGGGGTTACAGGCCTGTGCCACCATGCCTGGACACACCTTTGGACTTGGGTCTACCCCCCCCCAAAAAAAAAAAACTCCAGGTGAAATAAGTGTGTCTTTATAATTAGCCCGTGCCCAGGCCAATCTAGGCTGACCTAACACCAACCTGTTGGGGAACCTCTGAGTGTCTTACACCAGATCCTGTGTCCCGCAAATATACATGCTCACTTTGCTTAAACTGGAAATTATGAATGGACACAAATGTGTGGTTGGAAGTCTGGCAGCCTGCTTTGGGGTTTGTAATACTTGGAGTATTTAATATTTTGAGACAAGGCGTCTCTTTCCAGGTCTGGCCTCCTTGTTGCCTTAGCCTCCTGAGTTTTGGGATCACACGCGTGCACCAGTACACCAGGGTTGATACAATCCTCCTTCAGTTTGCTCCTGGTTTGCCAATACACGAAACAATGGCGGGGAAAAGTATTGCTAGGACTAGAGAAACCTGAGAGAAGCACCCTCTGGGCCCTTGGGGCAGAGACTCGGTGGAAGAGAAGGCTTGCAGCTGTCTCCATGGCGACGCATCACAAAGGCACAGCTCAGAGGGCGGGGCGCGGAGCGGAGGAGTATTTCTGCCTTATTATCAAGGCGGGAGACGGCCTCTGGGGACAAGATGGCCCAGTGTAGGGACAAGGCTCCGTGCCCCACTCAGTGTGACCCCACGCTCCAGTCAAGTAAGACCGCCCAGGCTGCGGGGCTGCGGGGCTGCGGGGCTGCGGGGCGTGCTGTGTGTGCGGTGGGGGTGTCTAACGTAGGTACTTTCTGCCCAAGGGCGTCCATCTAAATTTAGGGGTGTTGCCTCGCTCTTAGAGGAGGGTCTAACCCAGGGAGGCACAAGTGAGTCAGAATGACCAGGAGCCCATGACCTCGCCCTTCATATCCCGTCCCCCGGCCGTGCTCCCTCTCTAAAACTCTGGGTGCTCCCTTTAAACACTTCAGGAATAACCCTGAGGGGACACGATAAAGCCACCGCTAGTGTCTTTCCAAGGATAACAGGGTCAAAGACAAGTGAACAGATCTGGGGAAGCTTGGGAGGGAGAGAAGGAGCGGAGCGGGCAGACAGCAGATACAGTCGGCCGGGCCGGGTAGGAGGTGGGTGGAGGGAGGGAGGGAGGAAGGATGGATGGATGGGTACATGGATGGAGGGAGGGATGGATGGATGGGTATGTGGGTGGAGGGAGTGATGG